AATTTAAAGACAATTTGATGGACATAAATCCTTAGTTTCTGTACAAACAATTATTTTTATTTCATGGGTATCACACACACACGCACACACACACACACACACACACACATATATATATATATATATATATGCACACACACACACACTAGGTTGCCCAGAAAGTCCTGACTCACTTAGGAAACAGAAAGAAAACAATAAATCTTGATCTCTGTCTGGTAGAATTTCCAAGGAATACTGTATTTCCAGCTTCTTCTACATGTTTGCACAATCAATGCTAAACTCTTTTGCCAGCAGCTAGGCTGCATGTACAACAAACTAAGGGAGTATCCTGCTATGGTCACTCAAGGTCGGGCTTTGTTTCAGCAATACAATGTGAGGCTACATACTGCTGAGTTGACTAAGGAGAAGTTCAAACAAATGGACAGTGTTGAGATTCTTCCACATCCACCATTCAATCCTGATGTTGCTCTGAGTGACTGTGGCCTATTCTGCACAATGGCACACTTCCTCCACGACCAGCAATTCAACACTTTTGATGAAGTGCAGGAAGCTTGTTTATATGTTTTTGATTCAAAGCCAGCAGACTAGTATCTGGGATAAACTCAGATGTTGCCTGATTTCTAGCAGAAGATCGTCAAGAATAATGGACTTTATTTTGAAGAATAAATGTTGGTGTTGCTCCATAAAATTTTGTTGTTTTCTTTCCACTTCCTAAGTGAGACAGGATTTTCTGGACAACTTATATATATATATATATATATTGGGTGTGTACAAAAATTTCCAGTATTTTTATTTATAGTTTTCTACTGTGTAGCCAGTGTTATAAAATAAAATAAGACATATCTCAGCTGATTTACAGGCAAATACTCAAGAGCGAGAACCGGATGTGAACGGGACAAAGCCTGACAGTCAGGTCGAGCGATCAGCAGCAGGGGAGCATCAACCACCGTCAACATGTGTGAACTACTATGAGAGATTGACCAGATCCGAAAGCCGGCTTATGAACTTTACCACAAGGTAGCTGTCCCAAACCCTCACGTTCCTGTTGAAATAAACCACGTAAATCTATTTCTACTGTTGTCGTATTTCTTTCTTGCAACCATATCTTGTCTATAACACCAGTATCTAGTTTTCATAAAAAGGGTTCTGGCTTTAGGAACTTTTACATAAATATCATACATAATTATAGTGACATATGTAGTTATCTTTCAATAAGAGATACATAAAAAGTAATTAAAATGAAAACTTCAAATCATCTGAAAATTCTGCTTAATTTCTAGATCTGAAAAATATCAGCTTAAATATAACTGAAAGTTAAAAAGAAGTTTTATGGTTTATAGCTGTCATGTAGTAAACCACTATTCTTATGAATTCCTTAATATCACTCAATGAAATTCGTATAATTGCTTAAACTGGCATTGATTAAAGACAAGAAAATAATGCTTCTGGTCTTAAGAAAGCAGAGAAAAGTCTGTTAGTAAAGCAAACAGAAAATAACTTTAAAAAATTCAGATTAAATTTGAAAAGTTAACTTTTTATGCTCCATTTAACTACTCTCGAATGTACATATGTTGATTTATTTACCATTTATTTTTTTTGACTTTCTTACCACTTAGCTTACCTTTCCACCATCATATCCTCTTTTTCTTCAATCCTCTTTGCCTTCATGTTCCCAATTCCTTCCTGTTCAATAATGTTATGTAGGTTTCTCAGTCAGAAAGCATACTTAATTCCAGCACAGAAAGGTTGGGGATTAGACAGATGCTGCTACACTGATCTTACATAATATATAATAATATTATAAACTCCTTTCCAAAAATATTTCATATACAGATATGATATGATCAGATATCGAGATATGAGCGTAGCAATGTACAAGTTTTTTGAGGTACAAGCCAAAGTTTGGCCCATTTTTTGCCTTGAGATATGAGCAAGTTTCAGTTAAGCATCCACAGTACACATGTTCACCTCCGCTCTGGAAAAATCTCTATTGTATTGTGTTGTAATTTTTTTTTTTTTTTTTGCTGTTATTTTGTAAAATTCCTTTAGTGACACCTTGGGTTTGAAGAAAGTAAGTGTAAAGAGCAGTGGCGAATTTTTTGGGGCCTGGAACAGATCAGAAATATTTTCATTAATTTCAATGGGGAAAAGTGATTTGAGATACAAGTCTTTTGAGTTACAAGCTTGGTCTTAGAAGGAATTAAACTTGTATCTCAAGGCATTACTGTATTATGTTCTCTGATAAATATTAAAAAGTACAGAACTCTGTTCTCTCCTACTAATGATAACTGAAAGATAATGTTTTTAAAATAAGTAGATCTTGTTTATCAAGTTAATAGGAAAATATTTTTAATCAACACAACTGTAAATAATTTCTGTCAGAATTTCTGGGATGAGGAGTTATCATTATTTATACTATTTATATTCGGACTATTGTCCTCATCTTTGTTGTTTTTATCACCTGATTGCCTTCTGTGTGAATTTCTGGCATGAGGGAGTTATCATTATTCAAACACTATTTATATTCAGACTATTCTCCTCATCTTTGTTGCTATTATCACTAAGGAAGCACACACTGGATGAAATTTTGTAATAGTAACAACAAAGATAAGGACAATAGCCCAAATATAAATGGTGTAAATAACATCTGTAGATATACACCTGAGGAAGGCTAGAAATATAATTCTAAAAATATAATTTATAATGTTTAGTTGCAGCTAATTGATGAGAGCCTAAGAATTAATGCGGGTTTTGAGAAAAACAAAGAAGAAAGTTTAAAAAGGGAGAATACAATAGATTGTTGGTTTAAGGGTTAGATTCCCTTTTATAATTTGCATTTGCTAATGCAGATTGGGCAGCAAAAGCATTTTCCCTCTGAATGAGAAAAAAAAAACAACTCTTTCAATTCTTTTCAAAATTATATGAAGACTATATAAGTTTTCTTTTCTTGTGTATGTCATATTTGATTTAGTTATTCTTGTATTTAAAAAAAGTTAACAGAAACAGCATGAATTTTAACAACAAATTAGGACACAGGCATCAAATCTTGTTTACATCTCTTAATCTATCCCAGTATAACTAGCTTTATGAGATATGATAGTAAATCATATTTCCTTTCTTCACCACCATTGAAATTAAAACAACTGACATATACACATACATACACATGTTTTATCATGTGCTGATCCTTTCTCTCTCCACCCACTAATAGTGTCTCAGAATGAGAAATCAGAGAGACAAGTTCAAATTCCAGTCAAGTTCATTACATTCCACTTATGCACAAATACCCTTGGGGAAAAAAGGTATGAATCCATCTCTTCTTCCTCCAGCTATTGCTTAAATAGTAAGACTTGTATCTAAAAAAAAAAAAAAAAAAAAATCAGTTTTCTATAATAAATTGTTAAATCAAAATTCACCTGTAAAAAAAAAAAAAAAAAAAAAATTCAAAAAATTTGTTTCAGCTTTAAATAACCCATAAAGGGTTGATATACCATAAAAAAAAAACAAATCAATCAGTCTCTATCCAATAATGTTTCTTCTGGATACAAACCATCATATGCAAAATGAGAACTCATAAGGTAATTGTTAATATATAATAGTAATATTTTTCATTAGTAGTGAGAGATTTCATATCAGAACCCATATGTAAATACAATAAAGTTTGAGAAAAATGGGGATTTTGTTCAAAGATAACTGTTGCATGTTTTTATTGCATACCATTTGGAATAAAAATAGTACTGAAAAAGTCCGAGTTTTAAAAGTCTTACTAGCAAGTCACCTGTAAGTTAATTCCTGAGATGAATGGATAAAGTATACATTAAATTCAGGCATAAAAAACAAAAACCAACTACAGATGTAGATATGTATTTATGTCTGCCTTCATTGCAAGTATATAACCAACAAAAGATGAGACAAATTACAATATAACATGTATTACTTCAACTAAAAAAATATCAAAGACTAAACTTTGATCATAACCAGAAAGAATGGCAAGAAGTTTTTTCTTTCTTTTTCTGAGAAGCTGTCTATTTGGCCAACACTTGATATGAACAGTGTCTGCTTTCAATTATATGTATCCATTGTTATTGTTTTCGTGCTTATTGGGTTGAGGCATAAAATTTACAAAAACATAGAAAACCTTGAAAATGGATGATGGATGTCAGAAATATTTGATAAACACAAATAAAAAGAATATTGGTAAATTGAGACACTCACTTGAAAAAGAAATGAAACAAAAAACTGAAGAAACTCAAAAATAAGAAATGAATTTGTTCACTATTACAGACACAGTGTTGAAAAGACATGCATATATATATATATACATACATACATATATACATATATAAATATGTGTGTGTGTTTTATTAATAAATCTGTATATACACATATAGAAAATATGTATATGTATACATATATGTCAAAGATGAATATACACACATTAAAATTATATGAATATCTACATTTGTAAGTAATTTCTCCTCATCTATTATTCTATATTTCATTGCCATTGTGTCTCTGTGACAATAACCATTTGTATGTGTGTGTCCATCTTGGCAGAGCCAAGGGAACAAAGATGGCTGAGGTCTTTGCCAGACGACAAGCATCAACACAGCATTTTCTCGGAACTATTTTTCCTGAGAATTTTTAATTGGGGTTGGCCTTGTTTTTACAGGGGGTAAGGGTAAATCAATACTGAGCAATATATCTGTATATGTAGAAAGAGAGAGAGAGAGAGATAATAATCTGTAGAGAAAGAAAGAAAGAAGAAGGCAGAGAAGGAGGAAAATTCAGAGAAATGGAAGAGAAGGAATTTTATTGAAGTAGAGGTTAAATCAATAGTGAGTTGCAGACAGGCCGACACGGATAGGAAGAGAGGTAAAAAAAAAAAAAAAGAAAAGATCAGAGCAGAGAGTTGGGGGGATGAAAAGCAATAAAAAAAAAGAAAAAAGTTAGGATCTAATGAAGAGAGAGGAGAAGAAATTTTTGTAGTAATAGCTAAATCAGTGCCATGCAATAGTTTGGTAAACAGAGAGATGCAAAGAGAGAATATAGATAGGAAGAAACAAGTGGGGAAAACTGAAAAGAAAATGAATAAAGAATGGTGACAGTAAATCAATACTGATTGGTAGGCAAACATCAATAGGAGGAGGGTGGAGAAAGATAAATGTTAAGTCACCAGAGAGAGAGAGAGAGAGAGAGAGATTTACAGGTAAGAGACAGAAAAGAATTAAAAAAGAATGGAAGAAGAGAGAGAGAGAGAGAGAGAGAGATTTACAGGTATGAGACAGAAAAGACTGGAAGAGAGAGAAAAGAATAGTTTTGTTGAGATGGAGACCAAATCAATACTGAGTCATATACAAGCAGACATGTATAAGGAGAGAGGAGCAGAGAAAGAGAGGCTTGTATATAGTAAGGAAGGACAAAGGCAAGCAAAACTAAAGGAAAAGAGACAGGAAGAAGGAAAATATAAAAGACAGAAAATGTTTAGATAGACTAATGGTTGAAAATAATAAACTCTGCTGACAAGACAGGTTTTGCCTCAGCATTGGTTACTAGATTGAATCATAGAAAGAGTTAGGAAGAGTTTTCATGCAGATGCCTTCAAGAAAGACAAAAACCTTAAAACTTCCTAAAGCTCCCAATTGGTACAAGTTACCAAAAGAGTTTCTACAAAAAAAAAAAAATAGGAATTAGAAGAATTTTGACAAGTGATATAAAAAAACAGTATAAAATGAGAAAAGAAAAGTAAGAAGAAAAATGAAGAGGTAGAGAAGTTAAGGGAAAAAAAGGAACAGAAAGAGAAAAAAAACATTGAAGAAATGTGGGGAAAAATGATTGTTTGAGAGAAGAAAGTATAAAAGAGTGAGCAAAAAGCAAAGAAGAATGGAAAGGGAAAAATAAAACAAGAGAAAGACAGTGAAAAAAAAAAAGAAATATAAAAAGAAGAAAGCTAGCAAAGGAAATCAATGAGAGAGGAAAGTTATAGTAAAAGGAGAGAGCTGAACATAGAAATAAGAGAAAATCAGAAAGAAAAAAAGACTATAGAAAAACAAGCAAATTAAAAGAGAAAGATTAAAAATGCTAAGCATGAGTGTCAAGAATATTAGAAAGAAGACAATTAAAAAGAGAAATCAATAAAAAAGAAAGACTTGTTGTGGAATGGATGGAGGGAAAGTAAGTAGACAAAGGATTACTAGAAGGGAAAAAAGTAGAAGAGACTAAGAAAAAAAAAGAGAAGCAAAATAAGGAAGGTGAAAGAAAGAAAATAAGAGTAGAGAAGGAAATGGAGATGGAAAGAAACAATAGGGAAAAGTAGAGTGATACTAAAGAAAAGATACTGAAAAGAAGACAGAAGTGGAGGAAAAAAAGAGAGAAAAGAAGAGAAAAGAGCAAAAAGAGGCCAAGAGGAATGGGGAAAGGAATGAGTAATGATAATCTTAAAAGAGTGAGTGAAAAAAAGGAGAATTAAATGAATATAAAGTGATAAAGAACAGAGAGTGTATATAAAGTAGGAAAGACTAGAGAGTGGATATAAAGGAAGAAAGAATAGAGTGTGTGTATAAAGAGAGAAAGAGTAGTGAATGTAAAGAGAAATAATAAAGAATAGGTATTAAGAGAAAAAAATGAAAAAGAAAAAGATGATGGAGAAAAAGAGGTAGAAAGCAGAATTGTGATGGTTAGCAATATAAAACTGAATTTAACAAAAAAGAAACAAAAACAAGAAATAGATGATAAATCAAGAGAGATGGTTTGATAAAATGTAGAAAAGAAGAAGAGAGTAATAAAAAGGATTAGGAAAAGTGAAAGAAAGAAAATTATATAGGGATAATAATAATATTAAAAGAGAGGGAGAGAGAAAATAAAGACTTACTGAGGAATGGATGAAGAGAAAGTAAGTAAAAAAAAGGATTACTACTTGGGAAAGGAAAGAAAGAGAAACAAAATAACGAAGACAGAGATAAGAAGAAAATGTTGAAAATTCAATAGCAAAACTAAAAATGATAAAGAGTAGTTGTAAGAGAATAAGTTAAGAAAGCGAAGGTGTGAAGAGAAAGTGAGCAAGAGATAGAAAAAAAGATAGAAAGAATCCAAGGAAATTTGGCAATGAATAAAATGGTTGAAGCATGAGAAAATTAATGAAAAGAAAGACATTTTCAAAAAGATAGAAATTCAAATAGAGAAAAGGAGAGAATGAAAAATGTGAGATGAAAAAGTACAAAAAGAGTAAATAAAAGGAGAGAGAGAGAAGTAGAAATTAAAAAAATAGAAAAGGAAAAAGTTGGTTGTATTTATGCTAAACAGTGATTGTGGAAGGGAGATAATGAGAAAGAAAAAGAATGAGAAAAAAGTGATATAGCAATAAGAAGAATCAGTGACAAGAGGAAAGAAGAAAAAGAGGAAACATTATGAAGAGTAGGAAAGTTAATAGAAAGGTAGAGTGAGCATAGAATAAAGTGAAAGAGACAATAAAGTAGAGGATGAGAAAGTAAAGAGTATAGAGACAATAAGAGAGAGAGAGAAAGATAAAACATGATAAAGTGAAAAAGGAAAAAAATAGAGGACAAAAAAAAGAAACAGGGAAGTAGGAAATAAAGATGAAAATAAAGCTAAGGCTAGATTGAAAAGCTATAAGGTAAAATAAGACAAATGAAGAAAGGCTAAAGATCATGAAAGCTATGAAAGGAAGAAGTAGAGAGATAGAGAGAACATATAGGAGATAGAAATAGAAAGGAATGAGAAAAAGTGAGAAACAAGAACAATGAGTAGGAGAAACAAAAAAGGAAAGAAAACAAGTAAAATAAATAACGAGAAAGAAAGAAAGAAAGTGATATAAAAGGAGAATAATGAATAATCAGATAGGAAGATAGAAGATAGTATATTTGTGTGCAATTGAGAGCAGGGTCGAAAGTAATAAATAAGAGAAAAATAAAAAGAGTAAAAACAAAAATGAAAAAATGGAGTAAAAAGAAAGGACAAATGGGTAGAGAAGAAAAAAGAACCAGAGGAGGAAAGTGAGGAATGTGGAGAGATAGAAGTAGAGTTTAAGAGTAAGAAAGAAAAAAAAGTAAATAATGTCAGAAGAGAAATACAGAATAACAAAGAGGCAGGGATAGGCACTGGTGTGAAGAGGAAGCAGAAGGGGAAAAAACTGGAGACAAAAGAGAAAAAGTAAGGTTGAAAGGCAGAATGTAGAGGATAGACAGAAGAAAGAAACTATTGAAGGAGGATGAATATGTGTGACAAAAAGAAAGTTGACATAAAAAAAAGGAACAGCCTGAGAGAGCGGAAAGAAGAGGAAAATGAGGAGAAAGGAAAAAAGCAGGAAATAAAGTGACGTTAGAGAGACGGGTGTGTAAAAGAGGGAAAACAGACTATGGTGTTTGTGAGGATGTTTCCTATGATGTAGTCAGAATGTATGAGAGGAGGAAAAAAGGAGTGAGTACAGAATTGTTACAGGCTATTAAAGAGTGAAAGAGAGAGAGAGACAGTAATATTTATAAAGCAAGGATACATACACACACACACACATTGATATAGGAAGACGCAAACACAAAATCACTTGTAGTTCTAATACTTACACATGAAGAGAAAGAAAGGACAATAAAGTGAGGCTTTGTGCAATGTGCAATGCAGAATAAACACATGACAGAGAAAGAAGAGAATAACCAGGATGAGAAAAGGGTAAACAATTTTTCCTTCTCTCTCTTTCCTTATATAATTGAACAGGGGAGAGAGAGAGAGAGAGACTTATAAACAAACAATTTTTATCATACAACTACTTTTTATCTCTCACTTATTTTTCTTTGTTTTTCGCTCTCTTTTTTTCTTTGTTTCTCTCTCTTTTTTCTTTGTTTCTCTCTCTTTTTTCTTTGTTTCTCTCCCCTGTTTCACATATTTTCAGTTAATTCATGCTCTTCTCTTTCTCACAAGTTTTCTTTCCATCTTCTACCTTACATTTGCCTTCTTTCTTTCTTTTCTTTCTCTCTTTGCTGTTTTCTTTCTTTTTTGCTTCAAGAATCTTTTTCTCATACATTATTTACACTTTCCATTCTCTCACTCTTTTTCTCTATCTTCTTTTCCTCTTTCTTTCTCTTACTCTCATGATAAACTCACATTCAAAATCACATCTGTACTTTCTTTCCTCTTCCATTTCTCACACACATTAATTTTTCTTTTGTTATAAAAAACCAAAATTCCTCTTTCCCTCATTTAAAAAGAAAGACAAAGCAAAATAGAGAGAGAGAGAGAAATGTATGTAAGAAAGAAATATACAATATTGTGTACATATAAACACATACATACATGTATATATCTTTCTGTGTTAAATTTAATCTTTCAATGTTATATCTTTCTCCTTATTTGTCTTTCTTTTTATTTTACTTTTCTCCTTCCATGTTTTCCTGAAAAACCTATTGTTGCTCATTTTCTCTTCCATAGTTGTTTTAGCCTCAGTCTGTTTATTCTATCAGCTCTCCTCCTCTTACTCACCCTGCCTTACTGTTTCTAGAAGTCAGTTCTATTTCTAAACCAATTTCTTCTCTCTGGGTAGTGTCTCTCTCTCTCTCTCTCTCTCTCTCTCTCTCTCATGCACAAAGACAGTTTTTCTTTTTCTCTATTCTCCTCTCTTCTCTTCTATTTTTTGAGTTGCCTCAATTTCTTCGTTTTTATTCACCATTGTCCTACTTCTACTTTTTTTTATCTATTCGGCTGTATTCCTAATTTTTCTCTTCTTTCATGTCCATTTTTCTTTCTCTTTTTTTTTTATTTTCTAATTTTCATTTTTGCTCTGCCAATTTCTTTCTTTCCTTCTTTCTTTCTCATCTTGCCTTTTCCCTTTCATAAATTTATTCTTTTTCTGATTTCTTCTCTTCATATTTTATTATTCTTCTTCTTCCTTTTTTTATATTACTGGTTCTTTTTATTATCTGCACACTGGCAAGAAAAGAAAGAAAAACATCTGAAAAAATAAAAGCAAGTCGCACACAATCGCAAAAAATTGGCATAAAAAATATATGGATGCAAATGTGGGTTTGTGTGCATGCATTTAGCTTGTGAGACATGTAAACATACACAAACATACTCAATGTATATACGTACATACATACATACATACAATGTATACCATGCACAAATTGGAAGAGTAATGAATATGTACAAGTGTGTGTGTGTGTGTGAGAGAGAGAAAGAGAGAGGGTATACAACACTCAGGTAGAAACAAGAAATCAGAGGAAGAGAGAATAAGAAAAAGAAAAGCCAGTGTTGCACACAAATACAAAAACAATAAAGAAACAAAATCAGGAAAGGTGAGGGAAATTACACACAAATAAAGGAAAAAAATAATGAAAGGAAACAGATACACATAAAAGGATATATTTAAATACATATATAGAATAATACAGAAAGATGAGTGTGTGTGTATATATATATATATATATATATATATATATATATATATATATATATAAAAACACACATACAGATATATATATACACAGAATCAGAAAATGAACTTGATAAAATACATGCAAACATATAGAAGCTGAAATATATATATAGGTGTGGTGAAGAAATAAAATCAGTAAAAAGGCATTTACTTATTTATATATATATATATATATATATTATACACACCATTTACAGTTTAAGAATTGTATGAACCACATATACACATTAAAAATATTCAAAGGCATATACTGTACAAAGACAGATTAACACTAATCATATAACAATATACAAATGTGCAAATTTATATATATATATATATATATATATATATATATATAAATAAAATAAATAAATATATATATATATATATATATATATATATATACACAAAAAAATAAATAAATATATATACACACACACAAAATATATATATATATATATATATATATATATATACATATACACACAAAATAAATATATATATATATATACACACACAAATAAATAAATAAATAAATATATATATATATATATATATATATATATATATAACAGTTACACTCAAAACTAAAACATACGGACATACAAAACTAAAACACTCACATACATACATACATATATATATATATATATATATATATATGTATATACAAATGCACACACACACATATATGTCTGTGTATTTTGTATGTATGTAAAGACATTCCACATAAATGAAAAAAGAAAGAAATATTGTGCTCATACTGGTTAGCACAGAAGAGAAAAGAGTGAAATTGGAGGGAGTAAAACGTAACAGCATGAAATAGAGGTGAAAAAGACATAGGAGGGTGGAAGTGAGAAAGACGGAAGAGTAAGCACACACAGAGATGGTTGCCAGGAGAGGAGGAGAAGGAAGAGGAGGGAAAACTGAAGAAAAAATAACAACTGTAGTGTGTGTGTGTGTGTGTGTGTGTGTGTGTGTGTTCATAAATACATGAAAATAGAAGAAGGAAAAAAGAAAGAAAGGGTTTATGTAAGTGTATCAGCACTAAAATGGAAGTTAGACAAAGGGAGAAGGTTATGGAAGAAGGATTGAAAGATGATGGAAGAGTGAGAGGGGGATACAGAGTGAAAAAGAGGAGAGATGTAAAGGAACCTCTGCAGAGGAGTGAAGAATCATAAGCAAGCTGAAGATGGGTGGTGGGGTTGCTGGAGGGAGGGAGGTCAGGTCAAGTGAAAAGAAGTTGAGAGGTATGTGGAAAGGAGATGGTAGACTTGAATAATGGGCTGGAAAATAGGAGAGGGATGAGATTAATTAAAGAAAAGAAGAAAAAAAAGCACCAAGAAAGCCAAATAGGATGTAATGAAAAAGAGGTGTCAGGAAGCTAGAGAGAGGAGGAAGATTTGTTAATGATGTTGATAAGCAAGAAATATTAGTGGAGGTTGAAAGAAAAAAAGAGTGAGGGCAAAGGATGAAAGATGAGAAGAGAAGGCTAGAGAAGATCACATAATGAAAATGAGCAAAGAATTACATGCAAAAATGGAGAAAGTCAAAGGAATGGAGCTGGAGACAAGTAAATGACAGATTAGTGAGGAGGATGGGAGATATAAGATGAGAATAATAGGAGTGAAAAAAAAAAAAAAAAAAACAGAACAGAAAAGTTAAAAGAAGAATGTTTCCAGGAAGAAAAAATTAGAAAGAGTGAGCTAGGAAGAACAATTAATGG